AGAGAAGGAGGAAGGAGAGAGAGAGAGAGAGAGAGAGAGAGAGAGAGAGAGAGAGCGAGCCAAAAAGTGTATACACATTTCAGGAAAAGAAAAATTTGTATAATATTTTAATACTAAATTTTTTGAGACATCATGAGATTAATACAAGTTACCTTTGGCCTCTACAATTATAAGAGGTGCTCAAAGTGGTGGCCGTTAATTTTCAGACATTATTAGTATGACAAACTTCTACTTGGATAACCTTGATCTTTGAGACTGCTGCACATACATTTTCAATTTCTTCTCTAAGGGTCAGCAGTGTAGTGGGTTTTCTGTGATGTACGACATCCTCTAGGGACCCCCATATGGGGGTAACACCATCTGTTGAAAAAAAGTCATACTATTTTTCTTTTCCTAAAGTGTATATACATTTATATACATTTTTTGGTGGACCCTCTCTCTCTCTATCTATATCTATATATCTACATAAAACCATGTGATATTTAAGCTTGTATGTCTGACTTATTTGAACTAACTTTATGTTCTCAAGTTGCATCCATTTACCTATGGATGCCTTAAGTATTTTCTTTATAGCAGTGTGGTACTCCATTGTGTATAAAGAATACATTTTCCTTAGTCTTATTTCTGATTTATTACTCTTCTGCTTTGTTCCCTCTCTCTGTTTTAGGAATTGTTTTGCTATGAGTTTGTCCTTTTCATTCAACTTTCTACAACCCTACTTTTGGTTTTCATTATAACATGTTTAGATTTTAAACAGGAAAACTTTTGAGTTAATTATTTATTTGGTTCACCAAATTCAGGATATTCCAAAGTGTTAGTTTGTTGTTGTCCAGCACCTCCATCTTTACCTCTTACATAGAGTTTAGAAGAGGAGGAGGACAAGGTATTAGGACAGGGAAATTAACTTTAGCTGGACTGTTGATAACTTGGAGGGTGGGATTTGTGACTTTATTATCACATAGCATTGAATAATGAATAGTCTAGAACTAATTGCTGGAGAGACACTGCTTGGCATCTTCAAAGCAGTGCGTATTGTAGTTAAAATTAAATTTTTAAATATCCTTTTATTGGTACATTTTAGGTGTACAATATAATGACATTCATCATTGGAGAAATGCACCTTCACATACTCTCTTGGTTCTTATTTATTTCCCCCTTCCCCTGCCCTCCCTTCAACCCCTCCATCCCTCCCTAAAATTAAATATTTAGGATTAGGGAAAGTTGTGCTTGAATTCTGTCTCTGCCACTCACAAATGGCATTACTTTGGGTCAGTCTCTTTGCTACTGGTCCTCATCTGTTTGTTTGTTTAGAGGTGAGTAAATGAAAGAAGATGTGAATAACATCTACCTGAATGACTGGTGGATGATAACCTCAGTAGGTGGTAACAATAGTGGTAGTTGTTAGTAGTTTAGTATCTAGTCCAAGCCAAGAGCCTCAGTTTCACATTCATAAAAGGTAAGGTTTTGTCCTTTTGAAGCTATTTGGATCTAGAAATATTTTTCTTCTAGCAGCACGAGTCATTTTCCCAGCCCCTGCTAGCACATGGAAGCCTTGGACATCCAGCCAGAGCATAGAACCTTCTCTACCCAGCCAGCTCGTCAAGTTAGCCTAACTCTGTTAGGCTATCTTGTTTCTGCATCTTGAATGCCACAGTAACACCTGACAGTAAGGCTGTATGGGGGAAAGGTGACTGATATGGTATGTACTTCCCCTACATGGATTCTGAATTTAGGACTTTTAGAGGTTTGTCAAGGAAACTCTCTGGATTGTCAAAGGAGGCCACAGGCCCCTGGGCTCCTGAAGATGGAAGGAAGCAGTGCCAGCCAACTTCTGTCTCCTGAAAGATTTCCCACTCTCCCTTTCCTTCTCATTCCCATTGAATGATTTCTGTGCTACATCTGAAGGCAGACAAGTTGGGACAGGTCTTGGAAATATGGTCAAATGCTGGGATTTAGAAATCTTTGATTTCATGGGACATCCCACATGGCCAAGAGAATATTTTCAGGTTTCTTTTCCTCTATCACCTCATGTACTGTATTGGTCAGCTTTCCATCACTGTGACCAAAATCCCTAAACTTAAGAGGAGAGGTTTATTTTGACTTATGGTTTCAGTCTATGGTTAGCTGGTAGCAGCAAAGGACACACCTGTTCAAGCAAAATCGAGCTTGCAAGTACAAGCTAACTTCTTCCTGCTTCCCCTTTTCATTCCATCCAGACTGTAAACCTTCTGGGGGATGCCACCTATAAACAGGGTGAATTTTCCCCTCTTAGTTTTCTGGCCTACACACTAATTATCTCTGGAATTATCTCCCAACAAACTCACCCAGACTGGTGCTTTACTAATCTCCTAAGCACCTCTCAATCTAGTCAAGTTGACAATCAAGATTAATTGTCATGTCTTTTTATTTTCAGCCTCTGGGGTTGGTAGGCTCGTGGCTATTGGATGAATCCTGGGGCCATAGAAGTTTGTATAATTCTGTGCAATTTTCAAAGTCCAACATAAACAATGCCTCAGTGACTTCTTAGAGTAACTGCATGGATCAATAGAACAAGTAGAGGGTAATCTCCATTTAACAATTGGAGAAACTGAGGCCCAGGAAGGCTGATAGTTTTACCAAGGTCACCCCTGAGCAGAATTGAATCAGACTAGGGCAGATTAGTCTTCCTAGGAACCAAAACTCAGGCTGGAGATCTCTGCCTGGAAGTCCTTCCAGTCCAAGGTCCCCAACTTAGCTCCATTTCTATTATGGAAAGGAGAAGAAAGGGAGGAGAGGAGGAGAGAATGCCCACTCTTAACTTCTCAAATGACCGAAACTTTTGTACTCAGGTTACTCTTAGCTGCTCAAACTGATCTGGAGATGTAGTCTTTTGGTGCTCCTGATGGCTGATAGTTTCTTAAAAGTTCCCTGTGCAGTTCAGCTCTTCACATCTTTCCCAGGCAGAGCAGACAATAGAAATGTAAACTGTCATCATCATTGCCTTGGGCCTACGGGAAGGGGATGACATTTTCTTGTGAGACTGAAGAGAAGCAGAGGCAGGTGCAGGGAAGAGTTGCTTTGCAAACCAAATGTTGGGGAGTGCTTTTTACATTCTTCAGAGGGACAGAATGTTTATTGAGGGAGAATGGATAATGATCCTTGTGCCATGTCTTCTATCACTGTGAAGAATAAACAGATGTAGCCTGTGGTCTAGCTTAGCCCTACTGACGCCTTTCCTCCTATCCTAGGCTAGTGTTGGGCTTTACAGAGGAGCAAGGGCCAGAATGGTGGCAGTCCCTAAGAAAAGAGGTGGCACTTGTTTCTTTTCACAAAGCATACAGAACATTATTTCATAATCAGACTGTTTTTACCAAACTGCACCCTACAACATTTAGTAACACCTACAGTCATTTTTGGTTGTCATAATGGGAATGGTGATACTGACATGTAGTGGGGTAGAGGCCAGGGAAGCTTCTAAACATCCTATAGTGCACAGGACTGCCCTACAGCCAAGACTATTTAGCCCCAGTATTGTTAAGTGCAGAAGATGAGGAGCTCGGGGCCTCAGGGAGGTCCAGCATGTGACAGTCATTCTAGAGATGGTGGCTGGATGATTGGATATTGATATGGTCAAGAGTTTTGGGTAGGGAAACCTAGTTAGCATGAGTTTGTGGGGGGAGGGGTCAAGTTTTGTAAGTTTTTTGTATTTTTATTTTTATTTTTTATTTTTTTGGTGCTGGGGATCAATCTCAGGACCTTGCGCTTGCAAGGCATGTGGTGGAGCTGATTAAAAAGTTCACAATAAGACGTGATTATATTCTATGTGAAAACAGATTTAAATAACATAGGAGGGAAGAGAAGAAATTCAGCTGTTGTAGTTAATGCCTTCTCTCATTTTACCCTCTACCTCCTGGTCTCCTCTGCTCTCCTTTCTGGAGATCTGGTTCTAGGTGTCTTTAATGAATACTCACTTTTTTTTTTCTTACATAAATTGGATTGTTCCAAAGCACACTCTTCTGTAATTTACTTTTTCATAATGTTTTAGTAAACAAACTTTCAGGCTGTTCAAAATTTCACCCACTGCCAAAGCCAGAAGGAGAAACACTGTATAGAACTTACTTTGTGCCACACAAGACTCCAAAGATTTTGCACATGACTCCTTTAATCTTCACACTTTCCATTGTATGGATCAGGAAACTGAAGCACTCAAAGTAGTCTGGCTGAATCCTCAACTTGTATCCTTGCAGTATGCTAGCCACCCAGAAAATCATTTTCTGAGATTGGAAATCCTTTAATGACACCCCTGGATCCTCACTGCATTGTCAGCCGTATGCTCAGCTCAGGGCTGGTCATTTCTGCCCCCCCCGCCCAGGTCCTCTAGGGTGGCAGGTGGGTAGACAGACAGCAGCAGTTCTAGGCATCTCAATGGGTGTGCTAAGTGCAGCAATCTGGACAAATTTTAGAGACAACAATCAGCACTTCATTTAGGCTTCACTGAAAGGGGGAAGTCCAGAGCCATTCCTAGTTAGAAATGATCTTATTCAGCCTTTGCCTCTCTGGCTTTTGAAGCATGCCTAATCATAATTTGCCTTACAGTCTTGCTACTAAGTTTTACAGCAGGAACTGTCAGTAATCAAAATAACCCTTCAAGCTTTGCAAAATGGTAGGGTTTGAAAAGCCACTATCTAAACTTTTCATTTCTTTCTGAGATGCTCATTGTTTCCCAACTTGAATATGTGGTTCACTAAATATGTTAGTCCTTTCTCTTCCCACTCTAATGTCATTTTTCTTTTTGTCCCCAACCAATTATGACTTTTCAAGAGCTAAAAAAAGTGAAAAAGCTACTATGTTCTCTCTTTCACAGTAGTCCATTCTCATGTTGTAGAGTGTACTTTTTTCGTACTTTTACTTGGCCCAAACTCATTCTGCAGAACCTGTTTCTTTTAACAGATTTTTAACACATTTTACATATGTAAAATCTCACTACCTTTTGTGTTTGTCTTGACTGATTCTTTCCTTAGGACAGAAAGAACCCAGAAACCACTTCTAGACGGAGACTCTAGCGCCCCAAAACCTGGTCACATGTTTAGCAGAGCCAGCCAGGAGGTAAGGGCCTTTTGGGCATGTTTCTTTGTTCCTCTCTGAAATATGTGAACTCAAGCCAAAATGGACTGGTTTAGTTTTTTCTTTTTTTATTCTTTTCCCTAGAAAATCTCCAATCCCATTCTCATTCCTTCTCTCCCAGGGTGGGCCTTTATCTTTGGAGAGCTTGAATCCTTTTTGGTTATTGGTGAGAGCTAGGAAACTAGAGTTTGGTAGAAATTAATGGAAGCTAGGGCTCAGGAAGCTTTCTCATGGTAGCATAAACAGTTTCTTAGTGTGTCCCACCACGTGGGAGAGGGCAGGAGAAGTGCATGGCTTATATTTTCTCAGGGGATAAGGGGCCCATCGGTCTGTCTCAAGTTTATTTCCCTCTTTTTTTCACTTTCCTGGTTGGGTCACTCATTACACGTACAAATCAGTTAAGAGCTGCGAGGGAGTCTGTTATTAACCCAGTTGCAGAACAGATGTTCAGGTTACATGTGTGCTACCTAGAGTTCAATACTCCCTTTTCTCCCCATATTTCTGTTCTCTATAATACTTTACTCAGCGTTCTCACTCTTTTGGGAAAAATAGCTATTGGTAACTGGGTCTCCTGCTTAAGTAGCCACCTACCCCAGTTTACCCCTTTTTGTGCTTAAAGTTTTATCTGTGCTTTTCCCTTAGATGACCTTTTATCTCACTTTCTCAGGGCTTTGTTTTATCCTAGTCTGTCTTTTCACCATATTTTGGTTCATCATGTGAGTTAATCACAGAGGTGGGCCATTTTGGTTCATCCTGTGGGCCAGCCACATAGATTTTGCCATGTTTGTCAGCTGTTTTAGTTGGTCATGTGGGCTACTCCTGTGAACCTCTGGAAGACTTGAGGCTCCTTTTCAAAAAGGCTCCAGTATTGCTCTGGGTACAGATAAGTAGAGTCACCCTAACTCACCACAGCTTAAAAGGGCTGTATTGAGACTCCTGTTTTTAATTAGATCCATATGGTGGGTGATTTTGCTAAGGCCATGGCTCTGATTCTTGATAATTTATCTAGCATCCATCCCTCTTTACCATACTTTCTCCTCTACAGGAAATGTTGAAATTTGATCTGCTCCTTCTATTGTGGCTCTACACCCCCAGTTTTTTTTTTTGTATTAAATTATTTTATTGGTACATTGTAGGTATACAACACAATTACATTTCTCACTGGGAACTGTACCTTTATATAATCCATCTTGGTTCTTATTTTTTCCCCATTCCTAGCCCTCCCTTCACGCCCTCCACCCTTCCCTATTTACAAAGACTTTATTTCC